TGTGTGTGTGCACTCTTAGCATGTGCAAGTGTGGGTGTATTTGCACGCGTGACTGCATCTGTGTGCATGTCTGCACGTGCAGTGGTGTGTCATGTGCACATATGTGTGTGTGTGTGCGCACACGTATAGAGCTCTGTGCGTGTGTTTCCTGTGTGTGCACACGTATAGAGCTCTCTGCGTGAGTTTCGACACGTGTAGGCCTGCACATGCATGTGTGCATGGATATATGTGTACATGTGTGTGTGCAGAAGTGAGTTTCCATGTGCATTTATACACGTGTTCATCCGTGCACACGTGTATGTGCACATGCAGCAGCGTGGGAACAGGCACACGTGTGCACATGTGTGTGTGTGTGCACTTCCAGAGCTCCACGTGCAAGCGTGGGTGTGTGCATGGCTACATACATGTGTGTGTGTGTACCTATGTGCACAGGCCTATGTCTGCAGAGGTGTGTTTGCACGTGCACGTGTTCATCCGTGTGCATGTTTGCACGTACAGTGGTGTGCACACTTATAGAGCACCGTGTGTGCGTTTGCACGCGTGTAGGACTGCACACACGTGTTTATATGTACATGTGTGCACACGTATGCACGCAGAGGTGGGTTTGCCTGTGCATACGTGGGTGTAGGTGTGCAGTGGTGTGTTGATGTGCACATCTCTGCATGTGTGCACACGTATGCACACTTGGAGAGCTCCATGTGTGTTTGCACGTGTGCATGACTACATACATGTGTGTACATGTGCACATGTGTGTGTGCAGAGGTGGGTTTCCATGTGCATTTATACACGTGTTCATCCGTGCACACGTGTATGTGCACATGCAGCACTGTGTGAACAGGCACACTTTGTGCACGTGTGTGTGACTCCATACATGTGTGTACATGTGCACACACATATGTGTGCAGAGGTGGCTTTCCATGTGCATTTATACACGTGTTCATCCATGCACACGTGTGTGCACGTGCAGCAGGGTCTGAACAAGCACACGTGTGCACCCCTCTGCACGTGTGCGTGTGCACACTCAGAGAGCCCCAGCTGCGTTTACACGCGCGTGTGTAACTACACACACGTGTGCTCATGTATGTCCACGCGTGTGCAGGAAGGTTTGCTTGTGCACACGCCTATACACTCGTGTTCACACACACACACACGCGTGTTCCCTCCTGGCTCCCACTGTGCCGTGTTGCAGAGGGCGGGGTGTGTGCGCGTGTGCACGAGCACGAGCGCTCGTGCAGCTGCACATGAGTCACTCTGGGCTCCCTGCCCGTGTCACCCTGTGCCAGGGGTGTCACCCT